GAGAGAGCAACAGAGACAGAGAGACAGAGCGAGAGACAGAGAGAAAGAAAGAAGGAGAGAGAGAGAAACAGAGACAGAGACAGAGTCAGAGACAGAAAGAAACAGAGAAACAGAAATGGGTATTCTGAAGCTCTGGTGAGAGGTAAGGGAGAAAAGCATGATGCAGTGAAAACACACGCAAGATGACTTCATGACTTTCACATATTTTCTCTCGCAATCTTCCTTTATGGAACAAAACTTTAAAACATCAATCCTTTAGGTCACATCATGCTAAAAGTCCTGTTTGTCTCTTTTGTTTTCACCCCAAGTAATTGTAAAGCCTGCTCTAGATTCTGCAGTAGGCAGACTTTGCATCACTGAAATGATAAGAGATCAGGAGAGTGAAAATAAAATTTAATCACATAATATGGAAATAGCCTTAGGAAAAGAACAAAAGCATTGCTATGGGTGTTCATACCTGTCATAGCATGCAATCACAGGCACCATAGAGGAGGAAAATGATTACTCCCAGATGAGACTGAGTCCAGCCCAAGAGAGAGACCCACAGGGGATATTCCCATGGAGAATGTCCAACCTTTAGGGAATCTCTCTGCAGAAAACCCTGAGGCTGAGAACTCTCTGACTTTTATTTAGAATATCAATGTTACAGGAAAACAAATCAGGAACAAAGCATTTTGGCCAAGGAACTCACTCAACACATGACACTTTTTCTTGGGAAAAGGGGAAAGCCACAAGTTTTCCTTCTTGCTGCTTAACTGTTCACAGGCTCTCCTGTGTGCTTTCTGCCTTACAGTTTAACCATTCATCCTGGCAAAGTACCGTACATTACTCCCCAAATGGACATAGGTTTTCTGGATCTATCCTTTGGAGACTCCTTTCCTGCAGTCATAAATATACTTAACTGCACAGTCAGTGAAAGCAATATTCTTCTGTAAATGCCAAATACTTTGATCTCCATCGTGGTGGAATGTGATGCTTTGACTACACCAGCCAATGGGGTCATCTATTGTTTCCCAGTAACTGAAGGATTTGGGTAGAACACAACTTGTGCATTTGAACTAGTGGGAACTGCGAATGTGCAGTGCACCGCCTCCGGGATCTGGGACAGTGAGAAGCCAACCTGTAAATGTAAATTTCTTGCTCTGCTAGACCCTGCAAACCTTCACTTTCTCAACCCTCACTTAGAATGGGCAAGCCACACTTGTGTTATACACTGACACCTGTGTTACAGCTGTGACATGCGATGCCATCCAATGGCTGCAGAATGGCTCCGTGAGCTGCAGCCACTCTTCTGCTGGAAAGTTTGCCTTCAGGTCATCCTGCAGCTTCACCTGTGAGGAGGGCTTCGTGTTGCAGGGCCCACCACAGATTGAATGCTCTGCACAAGGGCAGTGGACACAGCCAGTGCCAGCATGTGAAGGTGAGCTGCAGCCCCTCCACGTGCTCCATTTTAGAGAAGCAGCCACTTTGCCTGAGGGCTGTGCAAATGAGGCCAGAAGTTCACTTTAAGTGTACATGTGAGATTAGATGGGCAGCATTCATCTCGTGTCTTTCTGATTCCCATAAAGAACAGTCCTCAGCTGGGTAAAGGACAGTATGTAAGAAGGGGAAAGCCTTGATTGGTTTCTTAACAATGTTTTGTTAATATAACCTTATAGCCATCGACAGTTACTAGGCAGAAATCTTAATCTAGAAGAAATCCTATTAGAAAATTGAAAGCATACTGTGCATGGTGGCTCTCTCTCTCTCTCTTGTTCCCTTAACTCTCACAGCCTCTGACGTTCCCTTGGCAGCTCAGCTTTGTGCTGCAGGAATCACCCTCCTGGCATTGGGATCATTTCTCATCTGGCTTTTGAAGTCCTTTCCCAAGAAAGGTAAGGAGCTCATAAAGTACTCCAAAAATCGTCTTCAAAATCTGTAGTTTTTCTCATTCATGACTTAGACCCTTTTTAAAAATATAAATAATAATTAAAATCTAGTTAATGGATAAACACTAACAATCTATTGTGTAGTTAAGCAAAAGTCTTAAGAAAAAGAATTCAAAGTGCAACTTGAAGTGGGAGGAGGCTTCAGAAATACCAATGTTGATTGCTAGCACTGCACAACTCTCGGAGGCACTACCTGCATTGAATTCTACAGTTCCTCTGGAGCTGAGCAGAGTCTGCCACAATTAGTGCATCCATGGAAATGGATACTTTCTAGATAGGTTATTTAGAATACAGTTTTACATTTTGGAAATATCTCTTAAGGAATGTGCAAACATGTCTGCCCAACTCAGGTTGGACCATTACAGAATGTATCTGCTTTTGTGATGTACTTAAAAGTCAGATAGTGTAAAGCACTTACAAGTGGGCACAGTGACCAGTGGATTGATCCCTGGGCCTGCCCTGCC